TTTTTTGCGCAGCATCAGATTTAAACTTTTTCTCCCTCATTTACTGTTCGTGGCTGTTTTTGCCCCATTGACTTCCATTATAACCACATTTATTGATTGCAAAGCCATGACACCAAATAATCATGCATTTTTGATTGTTGGTGGTTTTCCCTGTTGGGAAGAGGTAAAATTTGTAATTTTTACTGTGGATAACCAGGTGGCACCATTAACCCTTTAGATAGGCCTGTGCAAAAAAAGCTTAGTTTCTGGCTTTTACATGGAGTTATATGGAGTATAATAGCATTATGAAGTGTGTGTGTGTGTGTGTGTGTGTGTGTGTGTGTGTGTGTGTGTGTGTGTGTGTGTGTGTGTGTGTGTGTGTGTGTGTGAGTGAGTGAGTGAGTGAGTGAGTGAGTGAGTGAGTGAGTGAGTGAGTGAGTGAGTGAGTGAGTGAGTGAGTGAGTGAGTGAGTGAGTGAGTGAGTGAGTGAGTGAGTGAGTGAGTGAGTGAGTGAGTGAGTGAGTGAGTGAGTGAGTGAGTGAGTGAGTGAGTGAGTGAGTGAGTGAGTGAGTGAGTGAGTGAGTGAGTGAGTGAGTGAGTGAGTGAGTGAGAACTCACCTTGATGCATCTGAGAAAATCAAAATATGCACCTCAGCTCTCAGAACTACATGGAGTAAACAAAAACAAAGTAAGTGTATTTATGCATCTGCTGCCTTTTGATGGTGAGGAATGCAGACTAAACAAAAACAAAGCAAGTGGATATAAACACTTGTCATTTGATGGTGAGAAGAGCAGCAAGCAACATGAGAAAGGGCTTGACTTGTAGTGAAGTTTTAGAGATGGTTATGCAGCCTGACCCCTCCAGCGATCTGCAGGAGGTATTGTCTTCTCCCTCTGACACCACAGACTCAGGAGAGTCAGATCCTGGTTTGGATGTGGGACCCTCATCATCCTCTCTAGCTTCCACTGAAGGCGAGGAGGATTCGGAGGATCCTGGATCTGGGTGGATTGGGAGAATCTTGAGAGGGACATGGTGGCTCTAAAAATCGCATGACCACTGCGATCATCCCACAGGCAACGTGTGGACTCCCCTCTGGACCTGTAGACGCCGGCCAAAATCAGTAGCCCCATGTAGGCATGGAGATCTGTGGAGTCCACCCCGGTCCAGTTTCTCATTGTGCGGTGGCAGCGGTGCCCATGGAGGTTGGTCATGCTGACAATGAGGTCAATCTGAAAAAAAAAACAGATTGAACACAGAATCCATGTTCTGGACCCTTGCGATGGCATAGCGCGTCGGCCCTGGAGTCACGCCTTTGACAGGCTGAAGAAAGGGAGTTGTCTCCACATTGGTGGAAAACCACACTTCGCCATTTCTCCCAATCCACCCAGATCCAGGATCCTCCGAATCCTCCTCGCCTTCAGTGGAAGCTAGAGAGGATGATGAGGGTCCCACATCCAAACCAGGATCTGACTCTCCTGAGTCTGTTGTGTCAGAGGGAGAAGACAATACCTCCTGCAGATCGCTGGAGGGGTCAGGCTGAATAACCATCTCTAAAACTTCACTACAAGTCAAGCCCTTTCACATGTTGCTTGCTGCTCTTCTCACCATCAAATGACAAGTGTTTATATCCACTTGCTTTGTTTTTGTTTAGTCTGCATTCCTCACCATCAAAAGGCAGCAGATGCATAAATACACTTAGGCTACGTTGTTTTTGTTTACTCCATGTAGTTCTGAGAGCTGAGGTGCATATTTTGATTTTCTCAGATGCATCAAGGTGAGTTCACACACACACACACACACACACACACACACACACACACACACACACACACACACACACACACACACACACACACACACACACACACACACACAATAATGCTATTATACTCCATATAACTCCATGTAAAAGCCAGAAACTAAGCTTTTTTTGCACAGGCCTATCTAAAGGGTTAATGGTGCCACCTGGTTATCCACAGTAAAAATTACAAATTTTACCTCTTCCCAACAGGGAAAACCACCAACAATCAAAAATGCATGATTATTTGGTGTCATGGCTTTGCAATCAATAAATGTGGTTATAATGGAAGTCAATGGGGCAAAAACAGCCACGAACAGTAAATGAGGGAGAAAAAGTTTAAATCTGATGCTGCGCAAAAAATAAAAATTCATCAAAACCAACATTGTTTCTAATCTTTGACATGTCCAAGACTGTGATAAAAGGTAAAAAAAATCCAGTCCACAATCACATTTTATATTGAATATAAGTCATTTTGTGTGTTTTTTTCCCCAAATCAGTGACATAATTTATGAATTTGGCAATTAAAGAGTTAAAATCCTGATTTTTTTGTTAAACATTTAGTAGTTTTGATCAGGACTGAGGTTGATTAATAGATTTATGTAAAAAAAATTGAAAAAAATATTTATCTGATACATTTTTACAGCAGTTTAAAGTAGTGGCTGTTTTCAGCCACGAACATAACGAAAGGGTAGTGAATTTGAACAATGCACAAGGGTTAACTAATGCACAGATAATACTGAATTAATCTGTAACTAATGCTTATCTAAGTTATTCATTAACGATTACCACATTAGGAACTAATTAGGAGTCTGTATGGTTAATGTATTAGTTCATACATGAATTGTTATTAATTAAATATGTAATTGAGAATTAATTCCCTAATAACTCATTTTTTAAACTAATGTTAATAATATGTTAATTACCAGAATGAGCCAAAGCCTTGTATTTCAACTTCCAGATAATACAGGTACACTAATATGCATTAATACATGATTAATTACTTCATTGTTAGTGCAAATTCATGTGGAAATTACTACAATTACTAAATGACTAGTTAATAATGATGTGCCTCAACAAGTAAAATCATAACATAATGATACCTTTGCAAATCATTAGCTAATGATTAATTAAAGCAGGCAACTGGAAGTTGAAGTGCATAGCTTTGACTAATTGTGGTAATTTACACATTAATTTACACTATTAGTTAATAAATTATGTTATTAAGGAATTAATACACAATGATACATTGAATTAATAGCAATTCATGTATTACTTAATTTATTAATCATATAGACTCTTTATTAGTTGCTGATGCAGTAATCATTAATTAATGGTTTAGTTCTTCATGAATCATACATTAACTCATGATTATCTATGCATTAGTTAAACATGAATTAATGCATATTAGTGCACCCGTATTGTAAAGTGTTACCGGTACATGAATAATCATGTACTAATACCTGAATTAATACTTCAACATGAACTCGTGATTAGTGAAGATAAGAATCATGAACCAATGAAGAGCGATCCTTAACTACGACAGGAGTCAAAAGGATTCATGCATTAATAACAGTTAACAAATGTTATTATGGTGCATGTTTGATAGTTAGGCTAATGCATTAATTAACATTTAGGGGTAAACTAAACCAATCAGGCTCCATACGAATAAATAAGAAGTAGGCCTACTCTGACTTTGAATTAAACATGTGATTTAATAGGCTAGTCTCATAATTTCAACTGTTAAATCAAAATCTGCCATCTGCAGCTTTGTGACAAATATTTGGAATGGCACAGGATTATTTAGCCATACATAGATCGGTCTAATCAAACGTGGGAAATAGACTAATAACTACCAGTGATAAATTAAATTTGATCTTAACCATTTTCTGATTTCTGATAGGGTTTGTTTCTGGTGGGACACACATTAGTGGCGCACTGTGTTCTCTTGGTGTGTTAGTTGTGTTCCCACGGTAATAGACCAGCGCCATCTTGGAATTTTTTAGCGGGAATATAAGCGAGACTGTGAGGGACAGACATCTCTTCAGTGGGTTGTACTGTTATTTAATCTGTTTTTGGATTGTTCTGCTGATGAAACACTGCAAAAATATATTTCAGAGAAATTTCAGTAGACAAAAAGCTCAACATGAGCTGTGGAAAATTATAAGTGATCTAGGAGGAGCTTTAAACAGCGTATGCCATTGAAAACACGGTAAGTCTATCCCTCACAGCCTCGCTTTCACACCTGTCATGGTGCTGCTCTGAATTGAGGTCTATACTGGCGTTTTAATCTAATCAATGTGGACTACTTTGGTAAACCGAATTAATAATTAAAGGGATACTCCACCAGTTTTTCTTATTAAACTATGTTATTCCCTTAACTAAGACGAGTTGATACATACCTCTCTCGTCTCAGTGCGTGCACTATATCGCTCTGTATTGCTGCAAAACTATGTTAGCACTTAGCTTAGCCCATGCATTAAATATGGGCCAAGCAGAGAAGCGACCAAACACTTCCACGTTTTCCCTATGTAAACACAGTTACTCGAGTAGTGTAACTTGACCTGGGCTGGTGACACAAAATAAACCGTTGCGCTTTTCTAAGCGTTTAAAATTGATGACTATATTGTATGGCGGAATACCATAACAAGTGCTTTTGAGCAGTTCGACTTGGCGCAATAATATCTTCACTAGTGAAAAGTCCTCTTACCGGCTCCCGCTTCCTCTCCCCCTCCCTCTGACATTTCCGTCAATACAACCAACGTGGCTTTTACTACCTGTGCTATTAGCAAACTGCAGATCATTTGCAATGGCGGACTTTGTAGATGATTATGACTTCTTTGTAGAAGACCCAGAGCCATATCTGTTTGAACCCGAGTACACGGAGGAGGAATTAGCTCTTATGGACCGTGAGAGGAAAGAAAGATATGATCCAGAACAGACCGGAGCTGGCGAAAGACCACGGGCAAACAGCAATTGGTGGTGCAAGTGTGACTGTTGCGAACAGATGCCGACCGAAATTGAGAGCCTGTGCTGTTTAGAATGCTAACTAGCTTCCAACAACCTGTTACTTCGTCAACTCCGCTCGAACTACTACTACCGGCGCATGTCACGTTGGTTGTATTGACGGAAATGTCAGAGGGAGGGGGAGAGGAAGCGGGAGCCGGTAAGAGGACTTTTCACTAGTGAAGATATTATTGCGCCAAGTCGAACTGCTCAAAAGCACTTGTTATGGTATTCCGCCATACAATATAGTCATCAATTTTAAACGCTTAGAAAAGCGCAACGGTTTATTTTGTGTCACCAGCCCAGGTCAAGTTACACTACTCGAGTAACTGTGTTTACATAGGGAAAACGTGGAAGTGTTTGGTCGCTTCTCTGCTAGGCCCATATTTAATGCATGGGCTAAGCTAAGTGCTAACATAGTTTTGCGGCAATACAGAGCGATATAGTGCACGCACTGAGACGAGAGAGGTATGTATCAACTCGTCTTAGTTAAGGGAATAACATAGTTTAATAAGAAAAACTGGTGGAGTATCCCTTTAAAGACATGTTTGCATGTGTGTTGTATTGGGATTTTTCAGGGAGTAATGTACAGTAATTAACTGTATTTCTTGTCATTTAAAGTAGCCTATATGCTTCGATTAGCATTAGCTTATGGACGCGCCTTATTTTACATGTGTGCCTTGTGTGTCTTTATAGGTATGTTTGGGCTTTCTTTTGAGTCCATATATGTTTAATTACATAAAAATAAAAGAACTAAAAATGATTTTTATCTTTGGTTTTTGTACTGGTGGTATAAAGGAATACTCTTAGTGTATGTTTATTCTCATTTTAGTTAATGATTTGTAAGTGCGTCATTGTGTCTTGACTTTTCTTTATGGGGCACATCATTAAACTCATTATTAACTACTCATACACTGACATTAGCTCATCTCCTGTTAATGCATTATTTTGTCATTAATTTACTTGAGGGCACATCAGAATTAATTCACTGTTAACTACTCACTAAATTCAGCTAATGATTTATTGGTAGGCTAACGCCTCCTTTTACAGTCCTGTTACCCATGTACTTACTATGTACTTATTATAGTAATTATAATTACTGGGTAATAACTAGGTACTAACCCTGAACCTACCCCTAAACCTACCCCTAACCCATGTACTTACCTTATATCAGCCAGTACTTTCTAGGTAAGTACACTGTAAGTACACGTAAGTACTGTACTGTAAAAGAAAGCGTTACCGATTTATTATTGTAAACTTCCTACCAAATACACATGTACTATAGTATTCAGCCCAGTTAAGTGATGTTGTGTGGCTTTTCAAAAAGTCAGAGAGTTGAGGTATGGTATCATCATGGCCTGTGTCTGCATGGACAGCGAACTGTACTGATACTAGCAAATGTTCCCCTTACCTTAGGCTTAGTGCATGTTTCCGGTTTGGTTCTTTTTTTGGGAACCGATTCCTCAGAATGTTTGTAACCAAGCAGATCTTGCCCCCCATTGACTACCATAGTAGGAAAAAAATAATATGATAGTCAATGGGGGGCGAGATCTGCTTTCTTACAAACATTCTTCCAAATATCTTCCTTTGTTACAGCAGAACAAAGAAATGTATACAGGTTTGGAACAACTTGAGGATGACAGAATTCGCCTTTGGCTAAGCCACACCCTAGAATGTAGATTGACCAATCACAGCGCAGCCAAGAACGAGCTCCCACAGAGGTCCGACACTTTTTCACAGCGCTCCATTGACTTTAACACAGCCGTCTCATATTTTTGGTCTCGGCAGGCTATTACCGTCGTAGTTTTATCAAAAATATGGTTAAACGTTGTGCCTGGGGCATTTGTAACACAGATACGCGTTTCCCAGAGAGGTTGGAGGGGGTGTGCGTTTTTTTCCCTTCCCAAAACCGAAGTCAAATCCTGACAACTAAAAGTGTCGTCTAGCACACGCTGCTAATAAATACAACGTTATACTCGCGTAGTCCGTTTGCTTTGTAATAACGATTATAGAAGTGAATAGAGACCTACCCAGCTTTGCATGAACAGTGTTGCTCCTTGATATTGTTAGTCCCAGCCTCCGTCTCGATTAGTACGATATGCGGTGGTTCATTTTTTGACTGTGACCGGTATGCATTGCCTCTATTTTGGATGCCTTGTTGTTCCTTGCGTTTCACCTGTATGTCATGAACGTATGCCTTCAAACGTATATTGCAGCCCCTTTTGACTACTTCTATCGGACACTTTATTTGCTGCTTTATAAAAGTTTGATAAAATTTCAGCAGGAAGAGCTGTCACAGCATAAGCCATGTTGATACCAGAGCCCAGATGAAGTTTGTTTGTCGGACGTAGCAACAGTAACTAAGGGGGGCGGGGCCTAGCCAAAGGCGAATTGTCCTTTAATTCAGGAATTAGTACATGCTTATTCATGTACCTTTATTGTAAAGTGTTACCCCATACAAGTATATTAAAAATAGTCCATATGAACTGTGCGTAGGTATTCCAAAGCTATACGATACATTAACATGATGAAATGGACGAAATTTGCTCTTATATCTCAATCCCGTCCATCTTCAAATTCAAAAATTGTGCCTCACTCCATCATTTACGACATCGGTTCTCACATTTGTAACATTTCCCAACTGAGGGCAGACTTTCTGTTAATATTGACCTGCCTTTTTTGTTTTTACAAAAAGCTATCACATTACTTTAAAAGTCTCATTCATTAATAATTGCACAGGGGAACTTCTCAAGAAAGATTTCCACCTAACACATTCGTACACAAATTAAGTTGTTCCTAAACTTCTTGATGTTATCTAATGTTAATGTTCTTTGGTGTATTTTAAATGAGTGTCTGCGTTCCCAAGTACAATCCTTTGCATAAAACACGCCCGATAAGGGCTTTCCGCACACCCTTTCCTTTGTAGCCTTTCACTCTCAGCAAACATCTGATGCTCAGCTCTATAAAGACAGCAAGCAAGATCCTTAAACAATGCCAACGTTTTTTCATACATTTAAAATACTTTTTAGTACGAAAGCTGAATCATGATTTATTTGTGAAAACCTTTGTACGCAGATTTCACGTAGAGTGTAGGTCATATGGAGTACTTTAATTGTTGGTTTATGGTGGTTTAGTATCGCTTATTGTCATTGTATGGAGCTATGGGAAGATGACATTAAAATTTTAGGGTGAATTATTCCTTTAATATTTTAATATTAAAATGTTTGTCCTCAGTGCACCAGCTCTCAGCGTTCCTGTTGTGGAGAGCAATGCCATCCATTCTTCTCACGCAAATATTTCCATCATATCTGAACTCTCTACAAAATCCAACATATCAGCCATATCTGAGCTCTCCTCAAAGTCTGAAACATCACCTTCGTCAAATGTTCCATCAAATACCACCTCCAGAACTGGACGTCCCTCAAGATCGCGGCACTCTGATAAATCAAGAGGCTCTGTCAGATCAGAAGTGTCACGGTCAGTGAGCTCCTCACGGTCCTCAATGATCAGCAGATTACATTTAAACAGCAAGAAAGTATCCTCTCCATCTGGAGCCACTACACATCTCTTCAGCAAGAACTCTTACCTCTGAAACATTGAGCTTAGCCTTAGATTATTGGATCTGAAAAAAACACTAGTTCAGGAAAAAACACATTGGAAATTACTTTTAACCAAACGTCTCAGGTTGCGTATGCAACCCGGTTAACTGAGAAGGGGAATGAGACACTGCTTCTTTAAAGGGAACGGCGTCAGTATGAATGGTGTCTGAAGCATGTGTACAAGCCAATATTCATTGGCAGACGGCAGTCCGTGACGTCACACACAGAGCGCCTGTGCGTATACAATTATTTTGTCTGAAGGAGAAGCGCAGGCAAGCCTGAGGCATGGCAACGAGACACAGCATCTCTATCCTCTTCTCAGGGAACCTGGTTGCATTCGAAACCTGAGACGTTCCCTTTCGAAGTGGAACTTCAATGCTGCATCTTGGTGTTGACTCTATGGGCAACCAATACCAACTATGCCATGCTGAAGGAATGCCTGCCTCACTGAGCTGTGATTGTGTACAAGCAGAGTGGGCATAGCACTAAATGACTCTACGGGCCGGAGTCAAGAGCGCGTCAACCCCAAGGGCGCATCCTATGCTACTTGAATAGTGGCATCACTCCCAGTCAGAGTGCACAAATGCTAGTGCACCTTACTCCCTGTCTCTGCGGGACAGGCCTCAAACTAGAGCCCCAAGCAGAGCTGCAGGGGAATACACAACATCGCCTCTCGGGCATGCCTCTTAGGGGGCAGTCCACCAAAGGGAGCCTGCGAGGTCCTAAAAACCTCAGTAATCAGTACTATCAGACTGAAATATTGAGAAAGGCACCGGACAAAGAGGGAACTGCTACTTGTTTTTCTAAAATGCAATCCACCTCTACTCTGTCCCAGCTACCACCTTCAGTATTGCTACCCATCCCAAGAAGAGAACATATCCCTACCCAGTTATGATTGGGGAGCGCGGCAAAGAAGAAAATTGGATGCATATGCAACCTACTTCAATTCTCCTTTACCAAGCTCATACACTGACTTGAGTAAAGACACTTCCAAAGCCTGCTATAGGTTGAGAATTCAAAAGCCACACTATAGTAGGTATGGCTATATCCCCACCCTAAGGTGAGCGCATATCTCTACTTCAAATCCAACCATAGTTGGGGAGGGAGGTAAATGAAATGGAAGAATGCTTGCAGACTGCCTCCCATATTTTCATTTAGCTTACCTCAACCCTAAGGAGGTATCTGTCTTAAGGGAGCATTTAGTATACAATTCTACTTTAGACCCTAACATATGGGAAAATAAGGAAGAGAGAAAGTTGGAGAAAGGTACTTTTTGGATATCAGAGCGGAGCAAGAGAGAAATGCCAAAGTTAATCTATCTCTGCTCACAGCCACTGACCAATGCTACTCTCACCTTGGGGGCCAGGTGAAGGGGACAAGGATGTCCTCAGACATATGTGCATCCCAACTAAATCAAAAAGTATGCTGAAAATATGGCTTTCAGTGTGTAAAATAAAATGGGAGCAATTTCTGATTCCTGTTTTTCTTTTAACAAAATCTGTTTTCACAGTGTTTTTTCATCAGTCTTGTTGTTTTTCTGACCACTTTTTGTCGATCCCTTCCCTGAGGTCTTGACTCCTCCTGGCCTCACACCTCCTCTGCCCCTTTACTCCTCGGAGGGGGGACACGAGCGGCTTGCCTTCTTACCCAGTCTCCAGGTATCCTATGACAGGTCAGGAGGGTTGGAGGTTGAGGGAGGTGAATTGGATGGGAATATACAGTATATATATAGAATACATCTAATATATATTGGATATTCCTCCTGGACGCTGCCTACTATGCCTTTGCCTCTCTGAAATTCCCCAAAACCGCCTCAACAGAGGTGCCGAAGAATCCACAATTCTGCAACCGATTCAAGATCTCTGCCCCTGATCCAAATCTCCCAGCAGATCAGCCTGATACGCCTGCAAAATCGGACTGACCGCTGCCGCAAACACCTTGCCAATCCGTTAGGTCGGTCTTCAACGGCTTAGATGGCTAGACCAGAGACTTCAAAGACAATGCCTCACTCTGCGAGAGATTGCTGGCTAGCGTCTCTTCTACAGGGGCATCTTCACTTATCCTTGCTCGCATAAACCCTCCACACTCGCATAATTTGAATGTGGGGATAGAAAAATGCAAGCTGAATATGACTTCTTCCAGGATCTTACCACCTCAGTGTGAAGATCCGGAAGAAATGGAAGGCTCATTGAAGAAGGATGATCAGTAAATGCTGTTGAGCCGCTTTCTCAAATTCCTCCGCCAGCTCGACTTGAGAGCCCCACTCAGCAGCCACTGAACCCGACCTGCGGTATGCAGACGCTTGCCCCTCGTCCTTTGAGAAGAGGGCCAAGTGTGAGCAGTTTTGGGCAGAATGCATCCATACCCCTCGAGAGCTGACCATGCGTGCTCTGCTCCCAAGCAGACAAGGCAAAGATCGTGGGTGTCTTCAGATGTCATAAACCGAGGACACAGAGGCACGCACTTTCTAATGAACTTCCTGAAGACAAAAAAGGTGATGAGGTGTAACTCAGGCGCCTTTTATCTTCACGGGCGCTCACCTGTCAATGAATATTGGCATGTATGTACACGTGCTTTAGACAGCGGTCACTCTGATGGCGTTACATAGCATCAACACTAAGACGCAGTGTTGAAGTTCCACTTAAAAAGGGAATAGCAATGTTCAACATAGTTCTCTAAATATTTTTTCCTTTATTAGCTCATAACAAGTGCGCCCCTGCAATTAAACACAGTGTTAATACAAATCTCAAGGAACTCTCCAAATTACGGATTTAAATGCATGCATTTTTTTAACATAAACTGAAAATTGTTAAATGACATGCTGCCTGGAATCTTTTTGAGTAGAAATGTAAAAAAATTTTTTTTATTGATGGTTCATTCATTCATTGAGAAAAGTAGATTAAATATTTAGAGATAGCATATTACCCATGACTCACAATGAAATGTGAAATGTGGAACAGTTTGTGCTTTGTCAAAACTACTATTCATTTTATGTTTTGTGGAGTTGATGTAAAAAAGCAATGCAAGAAGACAATAAAACAATTTAAAGATGTTTTAAACAAACGTTTTTTATTTATTTATCCATTTATCCTCTTCTCCAGTGGAATGCAAGTATAGAGAGGTCTGGGGGTCTTATCATTATCGTTAATTAATTAATTAATTATCATCAAAAAAAAACATTTTTGTTAATTGAAATATAGCTGAAATAATATAGAAATATTAGAAAATAAATTTAAACTAAATAAAAATGAGAAATGTTGCTTTGGCAACAAACTGAATTAGTTGAAGGACAAAAAAAAAAAAAAACTTCAACTAAAACTACAGAATGGAGCAGTTTCACTTGCTTTGTTTCCTTTTCTGCAATATTTCTAACATTGCTGTATGTAGTTTATACAAAAACAGTATCACTTTTTCCTGTACATGCAGCTCTACAGCAATATTGTATAACTTATGTTATATAAGCCTGTATATAGAAGATAAATGTCTGATTTAAGAAGAACACTCGACCAATATGATATCGAATACCTAGCTGATGTTCTTTCACGACAACACACACAGGTCCTCCACTAGTATACTGTTTTTACTGTGGAACGAAACCTTAAATCGTTTACATTTATAAACTATCATCGTTTCCTTTATCACAAATGATGTCCTGGGAAAGGACAAGTGATGTCCTTTTAGGGACTTGTGACCCTGGTTGTCAGATTCTGAGATTTGATAGAACTCATGAGAAATTGCTTATGAGGTAAAACCATGTAGTTTTACCAGTTTTAAGCTGTAATATGCCGAAAAAGCATTGTGGAGGCACTGGGTTCAGATACCAAGATGGGAGGAAGCTGTCCTTGAAGGACACACACCACCATGTAATTTTATTCCATGATGACTTGAAACTTCTCAGCAGTTCAGGGAACTTTCTTTCCATCGATCTTTGAACTTTTCTTCCATTCATCTGTGGCATGAAGCCGGCAGCATGAGGCAGCGAACAGTGGTGATGTATGTGGAGATCGGCTGCTTTGTGTCCTGTCTGTGTGGCTGGATGTTGATCTGTTCCACTCTGGCCACTGAGTACTGGGTCTTCTCTGAGGTCAGCTCTGTAGTTCTGACCACCGGGAATTACTATTCCAACCTCTGGATGGACTGTGTCTCAGACACCACAGGAGTATCTGACTGTAAATACTTCCCTTCCATGATGGACCTGCCTGGTGAGGAATCACTGCTCACACTTTATAAAAGATCTCACTTGTTAACATTAGTTAACATGGACTAACAATGAGCAATATAAAATGACATCATTTATTAACCTTTGTTAATGGTGCTCATTTGGTGCTCAAAAAATGTTTCATGTTAGTTCACAGTACATTAATTAACTAATGTTAGCGAATACAACTTTTGATCTTAAAAAGTATTCGTAAACGTTGAGATTAAAACAGTATTAATGAATGTTGTAGATATATCGTTCATTGTTAGTTTATGTTATGTTAACAAATGAAACCTTATGGTAATGTTATCGAATCACACTTCAAACTGAGAAATTGTGTCATGATTTGGTGGGGGAATTTTTTTTATAAATGGCTCTCAGTAAAATCTCTATATATATAGGGCGAATGCAGGTTGATCGGGACACTTTTTGCCATTAAGATGACTGGGAAAAAGTGTTAAATAAAACCTTACTTTTATTTTCATTTAATTATTTTTTCAGCAAAAACATTATGCAGCAAAACTGTTATCAGCATTGATAGTAATAAATAGTTCTTGAGCAGCAAATCAGCATATTAAAATGATTTTTGAAGGATTATGTGACACTGAAGACTGGAGTAATGATGCTAAAAATTCAGCTTTACTATCACATGAATAAATTACATTTTAAAAACATACATTTCAAAATATATTATTATAAAAACAGTTATTTTAAATTGTATAATATTTCACAATATTACTGTATTTTTTATCAAATAAATGCAGTCAAGGTGATATATAATGTTATGACATTTCTCAATCAGGAGGAGAGGCTGTTCATGCGTTTGGTGAATATTAAAATCCTCTCTTTGTGTGGTTGTTAGTTTTCCTGCATGTGTGCAGGGCTCTGTCTGTGGTCTCTGTGATCTTTGGGTTCTGGGGAGCTGTGCTTGCCCTCATTGGGATGAAATGTACCAAAATCGGAGGCTCTGAACTCGCCAACGCCAGAGTTACATTCGCAGCAGCATTGACATACATGGCATCCGGTATGAATATTCCTTCATAATCCTTTTTGCATAAAGCATAAATTGAGTATCATTAACTGGTGTCTGTTTTGCAGGGTTCAGTGGTATGATAGTCTACTCCTGGTGGGGAGATAAAGTGCGTTCAGAATTTGTGGATCCATATTTCTTAGAAACAAAGTACGTAATTATGACGGTGGTGTTTGTCATATTACTGTATGTCTAACTTTGAAAGTGTTTTTTTTTTTTTTAGAAAGTATATATTGTAGTAATTGACGTAAAATACATGTCATGATGTACCAAAGGGCTTATAGGGGTCATATAATGAGGAATCAAATATCTTTGGTCTTCTGAGACAGAATTGTTCCTTGGATCATAAAAAAAACTCCCCAGTCCAAAAATACAATTTATCGAAATGGATGGATGAATGGATGGATAGGCAAAAGAGATGCAAAAGAAAACTTTAATTCTAACGGCCAGTTCACACTGCGCTGACAGACGTTGACCAACGTGGACAATCACCAGATTACAGTACGAAACTTTTCAGACATTACATGACCCGACAAACGCTGATTCAACATACAAGCTCCAACAGACGCCGACACACTCTGACAGGAGTAACACACTGATCCGACAAAACCCTGGTGCAGTGTGATTGGCCGTAAGATTCTAAGACAGTAATTTGAATTGAGTGAAATAAGCAAAAGTGACAGTTGGCTTTTTAAATTAAGTGACTGTGTAAAACACTTTTTTAAGGGCTTATAAGTCAATTTAACTAGCCTGGTTAAAACCAGACCATTCTCAGTTGTAACTGAGTTATGGTCTGGCAAAGCGTCATAGACAAATCATTTCCAGAGGGGCGTCACCAACGGACGTCGCGGATAGACCTAAACCCAATCAGAGCGATGAAGGTGATGACGTACGCAGAGCGGCGGAGAATCTCAGAGTGTTGTTCTTTGCTCGGTTTTTAACAAAAAGGAAACGTTCAAATCTCTTAAAACAGACGCGATAGCAGATTCGAACGAGTGATGTTCGACGGCGGCATCCATCTTTGTAATGTAGGCTACAAAATCTGCTTCAAAATCCCAGCGCTGTCGTCATCGTGTAAAGCCCGCCCCAACGCTTCTGATTGGTGCCTCGATTTCGGCGGATTGGAAATGAGCTTGAATGAGCTCTTTGCCAGACTAACTTTCAGAGCAAATCTAAATTTGCCGGAAGTTGTCTGGGTTTTCCCAGGCTACAATTTAACATGTTATTTCAGTGAAATCGGTATGATGGTCCTTTAAAATATGTGACTTTTATTTCTCAGGTTTGAGCTCGGTGCCGCTCTCTTCATTGGTTGGGGAGGTTCGTGTCTGGTTATATGTGGAAGTGCAGTCATGTGCTATTTCTCTGGGAAAGAGTCATTCCCCAAAAGGTCTGACCCGTCACACAGTATACATCTACTGTACGTGGAAACAAGTTGAATAGGGGGGTGCAATGAATATGTGGTTAAATTGGTACCTTTTTTTCTTCCTCAGATTCAACAAACAACTCATAAGACCCCCAACCAAAATGACGGCACGTACCAGACGTACGTACATGCTGCCCGTCTCGTCCAGACCCACAACAGTCTTCATCCCTCCTTCACACCAATCATACAGTGAGAGAAGAGGAAGAAGAGAGAGTAGAGGGAGGAGAGGAACACAAGGAAGCCAGTTTTCAAGAACCGTCAGACCCATAAGGCCTCCTATAGACTCAGCTGTGTAACCCAGTGTTTAAAGAAATAATCTAGAAACATTTGCAATGTTTGTTGACACTTTTCAATTAAGAGAGCTTCTCTGTTTAATATAACAGGAGCGCAAAGGAAAGAAGAATCTTTGAACTGTTATAAAAAGTGAATTTAATAAATCCTTTAGCATATAAACAATCAAAAAGTATGAGGCAATTATTTTAAAGTGCAATATCCCTTAGATGTTCCTTAGCATTAGCTGTACTTGTACCTTTATATTTCATATAAAGTACCTTTAACACTGTAAATATCAAACTCAAGGAATGAAAGGCTGTTTGTGCACTGCTGTCCCTGAATAAACACTAAGCCTGAGCTACAACAGATACTGGGTATTACAGTTATGAGGTTTATTAGCTGGTGAATGTTTTGGTATTGCTCTGCTGCATTTTCTTATATCTCATCTGAATCATCCCAGTCACTGACAGTCACTAAGCTGCTCTTGAGAGTGCTGCTGGTTCCTGCGTCTGTGAGGCCTGCAAAACACAAAGAAAGAAATCAGAATCACCGTCCGAAGACTAGCAACAGGTGTTGAGCTGAAGAGTCTCTGCTTATAAGAGAGGGGTCACGACTCACGAAACACTGCTTCAAATTCATTTTAACACCACAAAAATATACCACGGTTGCGCTCACACTTTGGTTCGATTCAAACCGACTCTGGTGCGATTGCTCTGTTAGTGCGGTTCATTTGAATGAGTGTGAACGCTGCCATCCGAAACCTTGGTGTGTACACAAAACAGGCGGACAGAGAGCCTTGAAAAGATGGGTCTCGGTCCTCTTCCAAACAAACTAGTGAGGTTTGACTGAAATATGAACGCAACACAAATCTAAACTAACCAAAAACAGGATGTGATGTCACAAGATGCGACCCTAAAGAGGACAGAAGGTTCAAGCATACCTGTTTTTTCTCGTCATAAGAGCTACGTTGGCCTTTACAGTTCAGTACAGCCGTCTCCTTGCAGCAGATCTTTGTTTGTGTGTGTGATGGAGAAATTCCTGGAACTTTTTTAACTCCTTTACATGTTTTATTCTGGCCAGCTTTACTGACTGCAGAAATTAATGTGAGGTTTATTCGTTATTCTATTTCTTTTTTTGTAAGTACTGTACACATAACAGAAAATATTATGGATATTTTAAAAAGGTCCATTGAAGTTGGTAAGTAAATAAATTGAACAGTGACTAACATAATTCTTCAAAAGTAAAAATACTACTTTAATATTATAGCTAATTTAGCTTTTGTTTATGGTAAAATAAACAATAGGTAACATGTTTCAATGTGGATACATAACAGAAAATATGATACATATTTTAAAATGGTCCATTGAAGTTGGTGAGTAAATAAATTGACTAACTGACTAACAGTGACTAAATGTCCTCACAAAGATGGCCGAAATATCCTAAATCCTTGTGGGGACATTTTTTGGTCCCCATTAAGAAAACAGCTTATAGATCATACTGTGATGTTTTTTTGAAAATGTAAAAATGCAGAAAGTTTTTTTTTAGTTTAAAAAAAAATTTCAGTGTAGCTTTTCTATGATGTAAATCATTTATAACCATGATTTCTTATTAGCAATAGGGGTTGAACCGACTAGTCGATTAGTCGACCTTAATGAAATACCGCGACGCTTTAAGCTTGACGTCGACTAGTCGCGTTGATCATGTGACACTATGATTGCGCTAATTTTGATACTAACATGTTGCAGACGACAACAGATGAAGAGCCCAGAGGGTCATTGCAGCAAGAAAGCAGCATTGGTACATCAAGTGTGTGTAAATACTTTACTAACCTAACACTAGATATTGTTGAAAACGAAAGTAAAAGCATGACGCACGATCACTGTTTTACCGGAAATGAGAGTTCAGTATCTTTATTAAAATCATTAAAACATTTTATTATTTATTTATTTATTTAAACATATTAATGATGTAGCTAATTCACCCGCAATTAATTGGAATATTATTTTGTATTACTTGGATCTGCGCATCACTAAGGCACAGATGTGAATTTATAGCTGTTTTTCCTTTTCTTTTCATCCTAAATGATGATGTAACTGCGGGCTGTTTACACCAGGGCACTTCATGTGTTTCTGTGATCTGATAGATAGCTATCCGATCGTGAAAAGACCAAGTGTAAATGCCCTCCGAAACGCACTCGAGACGGATTTAAATCCGATCGCTCAAACCGCTTCAGGAGGAGGTCTGGGCCGCTTAACAGACGAAACTGGACAAGTGTAAATGCATCTGGTTGTTGAAACCACATATTTAAATTGGACTTCTCCCAACAATGCTAAAAATAAACGTGATGAAGCTATGGCAACACGCATCGCCGCATATGAGCAGCTCGAGCATCTATTCATCAAGCCAACGTGCAAACTATCGCAAATCAAAGTGAAAGTAAGTCGCAGACGCTTAACACACAATCATCTTCATTAAAAGTAAAGAAACAAAATGATCTTACCAGTGCTGTCTCTCTTAATGCGGTCTTTGATTTTGAAATTAGCTGATGATCAATAAAATGCAGCTCATTATTGTTGCTTTCGGTGACGTGAACTCCGTTAAATCTGCATAGCGCGTTGTTTGAAGATCGGATTTATATCTGTTTTGCGAAAACATATTTATGTGACCAGGTGTAGGCTAAATGGAATCGTTTTGATAAATCAGATCAGTAAAAAAACATGAAGTGACCCGGTGTAAACGGCCCCATTATGAGCTGTCTGTCAGAATCTGTATCATTTTCTGTTAATTAATTGCAAATTGTGGCATGTTGCAAAGCAGTCCCATCTCTTGTGTTTTTATGAATGACGTCATCGACTAGTCGACGTCGACTCGACTTTGATGTCATAACAGTCGACTTCAAAAAATCTGAAGTCGTTCAACCCCTAATTAGCAATCTCTTGAAAATATGTTTAGTTAAAAAGGAATTGTATGTACCTGGCTTGTGCCCTTTGCCCGTCGATGAGCCCCACACACTAGTGCTGGTGTCCAGACTCTTGTCCAGGCTCTTCCTGATGACAGGCACGGGACATTGGCTGGGTTTGGGTACAGCGGGCACATCCTCTATAGAGGAGATATCCCAGTCATCATCGTCATCATCTTCATCTGTGTACTGAAAGCAACAGAGCAGAAAAACATTTAAAATAAATATCATTCTTAACATTATAAATGTCTTTCCTGTTACTTTTGATCATTTTAATGCGTCCTTGCTGAATAAAAGTATTAATTTCTTACTGAACCAAAACTTTTGAATTGAACATCTACAATATTTAACTACAGTTATGTGATGATCTACATTATTTGATTGAAGTGCAAAAATGCTTAATATAGCCTATCACTATAATATCAAAATATTTCAATAAACAACCTGTTCTCCATTGTTGTAGATTTCAGTGCCATGTTTATGCAACATAATATAAACATCTGCATCTGTTTAAAGGGGCAGATCTCACCTTTAGGACTTTCTTTGCATCTTGCTTTATATTTGTGACAGCTGTTGGCTTTTCCAGGAATGTATTAACGCCCCCTGCTGGTTTCTGTGGGCCTCGTGTCGCCAGCTGTTTTTCAAGGCTTTTGCCAATAGCTTTGACATTACCTACAGAAAACACACACAATACAAATATACTACAAATTTGTACAATTTTTGTGTGCAATACAACAACTGACATTAGAAGCGAGTCTTACTGTGAGAAATCTTCTCCACATTTCCATTCTGGTCGGTGTGTTTGTGCAGCTGTGAGAGGTTGATCTCCTTGATCTCGCTGCCGTCGGTCCACTCGCTGTCGCTCTCGCTCAGAGCGGTCACATCTGTCCTGTTCGCACTGATCACGGGAGCAGCGGAGCGCACAGCAGGAGTGTGAGGGCTTGAGCGCTGCTGTGTTTTAGCAGTCTGGGCTTTGACTGTGGTGCTGTTGACCAGGACAGATTTCTTCTGTGTTTGAGGGGCTTCGTCCTCAGACGTCTCCTCTTCCTCGGACGAATCTTCATCAGAGCTGAATGGAGGGGTTCTGCAAGGGAGACATAATATTTACATGTTCAGACAACACAGGAAAAAGCCACTGCATCTAAGTATCAAAATACTGATAAAGAGCGATAACATAATAAAATCAGAGATCATTTAAGCCAAAGTGATATCATGAACAGCAAACTAAATAAATGAAAGTCAACAGGAAATGGCATTTGCAAAGCATTTCACTTCTGTAATGTGATGCATGTCTGATTGAAACTTGACGTTATCGTCAACTACTAATAAAACTAAAAATATTATACATTTCTGTTAAATAAATAAGCATGAACTAAAATAAAATAAGGTATAAAAAAAACTTACATTTATGCCAAGGCAACATTTTCATGAAATTCTAAAACTAAAATTCAAATTTGTAAAAATTAAATAGACATATAAAAAAAAAACAATATAAATTTTTTTTTACAAAAACAACAAAATTACTAAAAATAAAATTATATCAAAAATATTCATTAAAAATATGAATAAATACTATATTAGTATATTAATAATACTATAATGACACTGTTGATTGTAAACATTGGGATTGGTTAAACATTTTTTTTTGTCCTCCCGGCTTTGGATATGTTGGCAGAAAACACTTGACAGAGCATTAAAAACAAACAATACAAACCTTACAATAGTGTGCATTACAAGACAAGGATTTTTATTATTTATTTTACTTGACTTATTTTTTGTGTGATTTTATTTTAAATTTGAAGTAATTTATCTGAAGATAAACCCCTAACACTGTCATGACGGCCGTACCTGTGATGCTGCAGTGGGGTGGAGGTCTTGGGCAGGGTGCTGGTTCTGCTGCGTGGGACTGGTTGTGGAGTGTGATGCTGTTTGGGAGCAGGACCTGACACCACACGAGTTACTGTTGATGGAAAACTGCTGGATCTGGGTCTGGACTGCATCCCTGCAAAAGAACAAGAACAAAGCTGCATCCTAACTGAAACAAGTGATCCAAGCGAGAAACAAAACATCAACTAAAAGACAAAGCTTTAATACCCACGTATTAAACCGTGTATTTGTTCTTCCTTGTCGTTCATTCATCATCTTCGAAATAATTTTTCACAAAGCATTATTTTGCTTTGCTTCAGCTATGATCAAGAGACATCCACTCTTGCATTTTGGGGGCGGAGCAATGAAGGGAGGGATGTGTTTGTTTGGGTTTGGGTCGATTTCAAATATCCAGTGTTTCTCAGATATCGCTTACTGGACCTTTCGGCAGCGTGTTCACCAACGCGTTTTAAGCCAGCTGAAAACACCAGGCACTGGAAACGCTTTGCTTTGCTTGCTATGATATGGAATAACCGCGGAAGTGTTACTAGCATCGCATTTCACAGATGGTTTGTTTTTGTATTGTTTCTATATGAAAATTATAAAAGTACAATGTAAAGTATTTGCTCTGGCTCTTGTTTTAAATTATTTTGTTCCGTTACTACGCTTGTTGTTGTGTGTTGCCATTGTACAAGCAGCAGGATGTGACGGGTGGTCAGTGGTATTTGTCCCGCCCCTCCTCCACTGTGATTAGACGGCTGGGTAAAAAGTGACAGTGATGAGCGCTGCGTTTTAACCCAAAGTTGAAAATACACAGAGCGTTCAGCGTGAAACAGACGCTCTGCGCCTCGTCACGCCGCTGCCGTTTTAAATACGTGCCGCTCACATTGAAAACAACTGGAAAAATACGCTAGCCTCTGGAAAAAGCGCTTTGGTGGACACACGGCTTTAATGCCTTGTTCTCAGCCTTGAAACTGCAAAGCCAAATCCTGACCTTGTTCATGTTGTTTGGGCTTGGCTGGCTGCTCCGTGTTTCTCTCCTTCACTCTTTGCTCTAGTTTATGGTTGATCTCTTTCTGCGCCCTCCGATACGCTGGGTCCTCTTCCTGTCTCTTCTGACGATCAGTGATAATCTGGACCATGGTGCTCTTATACACCCCTTTAGAGAGACCACTGACTCCCTGAAGACACCAGAGACATTGAGGTTATACAGTGTTATGGCTTCTCAACTGTCATAAGTAAAAAAAAAAATCATGCAGTTTGACACTCACTACCTTGATGCCTAAGTTCTGCAGTCTATCATCAAGGTTCTGCTGAGCTGCCAGACGCATGTCTCTCCTCAAACCCGGGTTCTTCAACAGCTCCTGCACTTCCTGCTGCCACGACCGGCTCTCCTCGTGACTTTCAGAGATGCTAGAGGAATCTGAAAATATAAGATCAATGATTATGGTAACATGTTGGATGGCACATCTTCTGGAATAAATTCTACAATTCCACTTATTGTAAAAAACACTTTAAACTTGGAATAGCAATGCTCTTTAATGCAGTTGCATAGAGACTAAATTAAAATTATGAATATATACACATTACCGTTCAAAAGTTTGTGGTCGTAAGAATTTAAGTCTCTTATGCTCACCAAGGCTGCATTTATTTGATCAAAAACACAGTAAAAATAAGAATATTTTGAATTATTATTACAATTTAAAATATATTATTTCTATTTTAATATTTTAAAATGTAATTTATTCCTGTGATGGTAAAGCTGAATTTTCAGCATCATTACTCCAGTCTTCAGTGTCACATGATCCTTCAGAAATCATTCTGATATGCTGATTTGCTGCTCATGATATATTTCTGATTATTATCAATGTTAAAAACAATAGTTCAGCTTTTCAGTATTCTTTGTTGAATAGAAAGTTTTTAAAGAAATCATTTATTTGAAATCTTTTGAAATGTCTTTCCTGTCACTTCAATTTAATGCATTCTTGCTGAATAAAAGTATTAATTTCTTTCAAAACAATCATACTAACCACAAACTTTTTAACAGTATTGTATATAAATGTACAATTATTTAAAAAAAAGGTCACTTGACCACTTCAGATGTTAATATTAGCTGCAAATATGGATTTTCTTTATTTATAAAGCTATTTTTTTTAAAAATATTGTTTAAAATTATTTATTCTGACCCTGCATAAATAGGAAAAAATTAAAAATTAAAATATTAAAATGAAAATGTAAAATGCACAACCAAAGAAAAAATAAATAATTGGAAATGCCACTGGACTTGTATAATGTCTCAAAATATGTTCATTTCCTGTAACTCCACATTGACATTCCCTTTCTCTTGCTCTGAGCTCTCCAATGATTACATGCATGCTGTAACATCTGTGTTTACTGAGGAGACAGATCTTTAGTTTGCTGGCGACACAAGCTCAGACTGAACACGCAGACCTAAGCAACAGATCATGCAGACAGGATGCGAGCATGCCACTCAATCACTACCGCTTTACCTTTCTCCTCCTCAGACAGCTCCACTATAGGATCCAGTTTATGGACTGAGCTGGTCTGCTCTAATAGGACAGCGCAAAGAGGTCAGAGAAGAGTGCAGGGGTTACGGAAGGACTGAGGCATATTCAAATCTAAACCCCTGGCCTAAAACATTTATGATATTACCCATACTGACCCCATTAAATCACATTTTGTGGCTGTATGTTAATACATGTACATTAGCTTTGAAGCAATCCATATGCTGGTGTCCACCAAAAAGTCCCAATTTGCATACTGTCCATCCCAACTAGTATCCAAAATTAGAATGAGTGTGTCTCAAATTGTAGTATGTTGAAATGAGTATTTAAAAGATACCCGGATGGTCTACTTTTTCCGTTTAGAATCCGAAGTGCAGATCCGTGCACACTCTGACGGCTAATGTTGCCCACAATCCATTGCACGTTGGATCATAACTACAAACACGAATAAAGTGTTAAAAAACTACAAACATGGCGGATGTGCAAGACAAACAGTTAAGTAGAGAGGATTAGATGAAGGGGTTTGAGTGATTTATAATCAGTATCTAAACTGACGTAATATATTTATTCAATGTCATCCACATAATAATTAATCTGCAAAAGCATTGTGAACTTTTATAAAGATTCGTTTGGTAATTAAAGGAGAGTTCTCAGCATGAAAGACCCATGACTGGCAGATCAACATGCTCTCTCCGAAACGGTAGGAAATTAAATTAAATTGAATGTGGCTGTGACAGATGATTGACAGGGCAGACTAAACAGTGACGGGATGTACGTAACTAAGCGTCAGAGAGGTCAGTTAAAGACGCAATTATGATGAAGTAGTATGTCCCAAACAGCGCTTGACATTAACTTTTTTGCTCACTAGCCAATGTGGCTAGTGGTTTTCCAAAATGACTAGCCACGCAGCATTTTTACTAGCCACAGTTTTGTTGTTGTACGTTTTATATGATTAAAATTGACAATGGGGCTGAAAACGTGCTAAAATGAACTAATATTATCATTAGCTCTGATAAGGTTGTTAAGCTCCTTTTTTGATAACATGTTGTCTAAGATACACACATAAAATAGCTTCTTATTGTATATAATAAAAGTGCTGCATTGTTTGTTTGTTTTTTGTTTTACAGCAGTAAATACTGCAATACAGAGTAGAACAATTATCTGCATTAGAAACAACGAGCAAAGAATAAATAATAATTTTAAAGAAAAAATCCACAATTAAGGCACCAGGATTACAACTTTATATAGGCTATATAGGACTATATAGGACTTTGGATTGTTTGTTTTGCATCAGCTTTTCCTCAGAGCTCTGACTTAATAATTATCATCATGAAGCTCTGAGTAACTGGAGATATGTCCACCTGAAACAAGTATAGGCCTACAGGTCTTTATTTTCCAGATTATTCCCACAAGCGCATCTCCTGCTTTCTTTCATGGCATGATTAATTTTATTAAAACATAGAATTAACTCTGGAAAGATAGTTGTGATATGACGTGACATAAGGGCAGCGCTGCTAGTAGTTAGGCCTACACCGTGGCCCTTAATCATGAAGATGATTTTTGCTTTAATACCGGCCATGCACACTCACGAACTGACTGAACGCTGTGTTGATGTGTGTGTGTATGCGACCAGTCGCGTGTGATGATCGTTCGTTTGGCGCGCGCACCCTCGCGCAGCGGCACTGCAGGAGAGCGTGAGACACGCCGGTGGTCTGGATTCTCCTGCTATTAAAAAAAGATCGCTATATCATCACATTAAGTTGATAATTAAGGGCAGACTAAAACAGCCCAGTTCGTCGCACAGTCCGCGAGTTTAATCTCCGCGTGTCTTCTTGTTTGCAGTGTTGTCGTTCAAGAGGATTCACGAATGGACCAATGAGCAAACACTAAACTATGTGCAGGTGGTACTCATGGGAGTGGTAGTGGCATAGTGTCAAATTGCAATTCGTTTGTTATGTCAGATGTCCTTTGACAAGACTACAAATCTTCAACACGCCAAAGTGGCTAGTGAGAGTGACTGTGTTACCCGCCACGGGTGAAATGCACCCGCATTTGGCGGGTTGGCGGGTGTTAATGTCAAGCCCTGGTCCCAAAACATCTTCCCAAAAACAGTACATACTTTTAGGGCATAGTATAAGTAGGTGAACTGGGACGCAGCAACAGATATACACTACTGTTAAAAATTTTGGGGTCAGTACGATTAAAAAAAAAAGAAGAAGAAGAAGAAATTAATACTTTTATGCACAAAGGTAGCATTAAATGAATCAAATGTGATAGTAAACACATGTATAATGAGTAAGAGTAAAGAATAGCTCTTTCAGCATTATCCTGAACATAAACATTTGTCTCATGTGTCATTGAGTAAAAGCACACGTAAACATCACATCCTTTTGATTTTCCCGGCAAAAACGCTCTGTGTCTAATCATTCTACACGCTTTAATAGAGAACCTAGAAAGTCGGGTCTAGTTTTTTAAAGATTTTTTAGGTTTTATCAAGTTGTTTACACATTGGCAATAAAAAAAAAGTAATTAATACATGAAAATTCTTACATATAGCCCATTTTATGTTTAAAATACAGCATGATGCGATGTCACTGTGATCTGGGCTACCCAGCAAGACTAAATTGAGAAAATAATAATAATAATAAAGCTGCATGTACATCCTCTGCTCCAAAAGCCTGACATTACAATGTGCAACACCACTGAAAGTTGCAGTTGAGATTATGCTTATCTGGACATTGTCTAGCAATATGTCATGCAGGAACTTACCAGTGGCCACTACTTTAGCTTTAGTCTCTGGAACCGGGGCAGCAGCTACTGAAACAAAAATTTATTTCGATTAAAATTAGGAAGTTAATTTAGCACTGATATATTAAAAAGTTATTTTACGTTTGTCTAAAAAACATAATATTTACATACCTTCACGCTGTACGGTTATTGTTGGCGGCTTTGACGAGATCTGTTTCATCTGTAAAAAAGAAACGCATGTTATTTGCTATTACGGAAAAAAAACAGCAACACGTTATCTGAGCCCTGTCACTTTAAATTGAAATGTTTCACTGAAAAGACAACATGCATAATGACAAGCTGACAACATAATCAGCATGATGATATTTTGTCAAGTGTCCGGATATGTTCCCACATGTACACTCCTTAAGCTCGAACCTAAAGATTACTCTGTGGGCCGCTGCGCTAATACAGGATATCCTGAACAATCAAGCCTCTTCCTGTGCTGAGTTACAGTACTGACCTGCTTGTTTTGGGAGGCAATAATCTGCTGCTGTTCCTGCAGCCTGTGGCTCAGTTCCTGCACCTGTCTCCGCGATTCCTCCCTGCCTTCTGACACAGCAGAGCGCAGATTGAACAGGTCCTCCTGAAGCTGATGAACCAGAGAGAGACATTACGCATATACGGGCATTTGAGCTATTCCCATATTTAAAAAGCTACCTGTGATACCTACCAGACTTTTTTCACTGTCATGGTCCTCCTTTATTTTTTGCATTTTCCCTGTCCACTTCACCTCCTGAGTAAAGAAAAATATACATTTTATAACTACAGCTCTATCTGTTTTAAATCATCTGAATGTTGCATCTCCTTACTTGTTTGTGGAGTTTTTGTTGAAGTTTAACAACTTCCTGCCAGTGTTCATTGCTGGCTGATGTACTGGGCTGTGTCAGTACCGGCTGCAGGCTTTCCTGCATATTTTTCTGCTGTAATCTTATCAATTCCTAAGGGGAGGAAAGTAAACATATTAAATGTCATTTCAGCACAATCACATCACATAATATCAATACTTTTTTTTACCTTATTTGATCAATTTATTTGATCCTTTATAACACTGTAAATTAAAATCCAGCAAAGTTTTATTACATTATATTATATTATAATTAGTGCTGTCAATCGATTGAAAAACAATTCATTAACTAATTAATCGCATATTTTTCTGTAACTAATCGAGATTAATCGCACCCAACATTAAAGTTTTTAAAATGTTTTTATATTGTAATAATTTCACATTTAATCTCTAAATTAATGTAGAAACAACATAAAGACAGTAGCCTATATTTTAAATATTTGTTTAATGGCATCTTTTTTAATGAAAGAAGGCCAATACTGCTACGTCTCTATGAAATATATTTTTCTCAATTCTAGCCGTTACAGCCATTCAGCATTACAATTTTACAATGTTCAGCTATACATTTTAACATTTATTAGGCTTTCAAAAAATATAAAAACTTTTAATTTAAGTGAACTTAAGTGAACTTAAATCTTCACATAAACCCATTATAATAAATGTCCCATTTACCTATGCCCTTCAATATATCAGGGCTCAATTTTTTTCTATTGACCCCGCCAGACCACTTCAAATTTTTACTTGCCCTGAAGAAATGTACAAAAAAGTTATTGTTTTCGTTGTTTTTGACCCATGTAACACTTGTAAACAGCGCTTTAAGATTTTCCGCTAGGTCTAACAGGTAGGATATATGCAGAAATTGAATAAAGTAAATTATAAATTAAATATAGATTCCTTATTAAAAGCTACAAAAGTTATTCAGTCAAGAGCAGTGAGTGACACGCGTCCCATTTTCTCAGAACTCTACGTTCATTTAAGACTTCATTTAACTCGTTTAAGACTGTGCTTGTGAGGATACTCAACAAAATGGGCATAATTTTGTGCGTTTTTGTCCGTTCAACCGCTGACTGAAGCGGCTTTCTGTGCGCACGAATCATGTGTGTGTGTCACACAGACGGGCGATACACAGAAGCGCGCAAGTACAGCACTGCGTTCTCTTTTGTGTCTCATCAAGCTTGGATGGTTTCAAAGCATTTGCATGAATAAGAGTGTGGTCATACAATGCAAAGAGTGCTAGCCACAGGATGCTGAACCGCGTTAAACTGAAAACATTAACACATAAATTTTGACAGCATTAATTATATTATATATATGATGACCAATAAAAGGTTTGTCTGAAATAAAAACATACGGTTTCTAGGTTTCTGTTCTTTTGATGCATTGAATCCATGTCCCGTTGACAAGCTTGCTTGATTTCATCTATTTTGCTGTTCATCCGCATTTTCTCCTCCTCCCTCCATATTTCCAGTTGTTGCTTAAACTCCTCCTGCCTTTGAATAAGCTCTTTCTCCTGGAAAAAATAGAGAATGAAATTCTTATTTCAAATAATAACATATACTATTAAAAACATGGTGTCTTTTTTTTGTCTTCTCTAACCTGTTTAGCAGTGTAGTCTTTCTGCTGTGTTTCCATTTGGGACGTGACCAGGGTCAACTGCTCTTGTAGTTTATTGATCTCATCTTGTAACTTCACAGTCTGAATTTTTTTTTGATTATCTGTTATCAGTTCTGGAAAACATCAGATGCTTGAATCACCCTTGTGAAAAAGAAGTGAATTGCATTAAATGTGTACTTGCAATGTACCGGTACTTCAAATTAGAGGTCTGCAATGCCGTGGATGTGCGGCACAGGACAAGTTTTGAATTGCTGAGAGCGGGCGCAAGAGGGAAGATACTGATATGTGTGCGGGAAGCAGGAGAAAGAAATTACTCGTGGGCTCCCGCAAAAATCAGCGTAGACCTCTTCCTAAAGGCTTTTGCTTGAGGAAATGGGGCAAAACGTGAAAAAGTTTCGGGTGGGAGCGGGATAAAATAATACATATTTTTTGGCTGATTGCATTTAATATAAATTTAAACTGTAATACATCACTAAATTGCAATTAACATGCAGTATAGTGTCTGAAAACATTAGCTTAATTTTTATTATTTTACAGTATATTAATTCTGTAATAAGTACTCTTTTTAAAAGTATGCTAAACAACACTGATGATCACTCACTGATGTCAAACTCCGTAGGATGTCTGCGCTGCGTGTGACTTTGCAGGAAAGAGGCATTCATGAAGGCTTTCTCACAATGTTGGCACTGAAAAACAAAACCAATCAGGGGCTTTATTAATTTACATGACATCAAATCTGTGAAGAGAGACCAATGCTGATTACGTTTTCTTAAAGGGATACTCCACTTTTTTTTGGAAATAGGCTCATTTTACAACTCCCCCAGACTTAAACTGTTGAGTTTTACCGTTTTTGAATCCATTCAGCCGATCTCCGGTTCTGGCGGTACCACTTTTAGCATAGCTTAGCATACATCATTGAAGTGGACAAGACCATTAGCATTTCAAAAAAAAAAAAAATGACCAAAGAGTTTCAATATTTTTCCTATTTAAAACTTGACTCTTCTCTAGTTACATCGTGCACTAAGACCGACGGAAAATGTAAAGTTGCGATTTTCTAGGCTGATATGGCTAGGAACTATACTCTCATTCCTGCGTAATAATCAAGAAACTTCACTGCCGTACCATGAGAGCAGCAGGCGTAATGATATGACGCAGCGCCTGAAAATAGTTCCGTTGTGTTGCTGGAAGGTAGCCTACTCTTTGGTCATTTTTTTTTAGAAATGCTAATGGTCTTGTCCACTTCAATGATGTATGCTAAGCTATGCTAAAAGTGGTACCGCCAGAACCGGAGATCGTCTGAATGGATTCAAAAACGGTAAAACTCAACAGTTTAACTCTGGGGGAGTTGTAAAATTAGCCTATTTCCAAAAAAAGTGGAGTATCCCTTTAAATGGCTTGCTTCTCCTTTTGTGTTGCATTGAGAAAAGAAAGTCAAAATTTGAGGGTGAGTAAATGATGATTTCTGGATGATCTAATTACTTTAATGAAAATTAACCTAAGCAGGTGGAAAAAAGCGAATGTGCCTGTGAGGATCATTGCTGAAGGTCGGAGTGAACACGAGCCCTGCTCAGGTGACGAGCAGGTGTCGGTGCAGCTCAACACAGCTGTCACTCACACTCCACTCAGGAATGATACCAAGAGACAATGTGGGCATGTTGCCATGGAAACACCGGGTGGTGCAGGGTTGATGTTGCATCTTATCGCCGCTCTACCTCTCGCTCCAATTCACGGACATGAGGAAAATCCACAACACTGCACATCACACACCACATTTAGCATCCAAAACACCCGTCTGGTACTCTCATTCAAATTTAACCACACTGCCGCTGATACCCATCAAAAACACATGCTCTGGATGTGCAGTTTTTTTCTGCAACAAGAATGTCCCCGTAAAACATCCACCGTGTGACATAATTGCATTGCTGCACTGACATAACTTCCCAAATCAACTGTGAAATGCAATTATGTTTTAAGGATCCAGGCAAACAGGGATTCATTGGTGTCGATCTGCAGCCTCAGCAGGTTTTGTATTACAGCACCAGAGGAAGAACCTCACGAAAACAGTCCTATTTCACCCAAGTCAAAGGAAAAATATATTTCGCAAAAAGAAGATTAAGGCTATTTAAAGTGTTTTCCAGATTTTTTGGCATTATTTTATGACCCACCCTCCTCCAGTTGCATACTGTTGTGCGAAATAAAATGCAGGCTAATTGTCATAATTGTAAGTAGCCTATATATTATGGTAGTATTCATCGAAATGGTTTGTATTTATTCTGATTTTGATTCATTTAAAAACATTTAAAAAAATCTGGAGAGTAGTGCTGCAATATTCTGGATACATTGAGAATCATATTTTTTTTTTTTTTTAAATAGAGATCCCGATTCTCCCATGACTACGAATAGACAACTAAACAAAATAGCATGTCATTTGCTAAAGGTTCTGACTAAACATTAATAATATGTAAAAAAAATATTGAATTACTTTGAATGATTTTTTTTTTAATCGGCTTGAATGAATGATTTAATGCTCAGCGTTTTTGAACAAATCTCCTGAATGAGTGATTCAATGACACATTCATAAAGACTTCACTTGTTTCATTACTGGATGAATCAGCATTTTTGAACAAATCTACTGAATGAATGATTCAATGACACACATTTCTAAAACAGTCACTTTGTCGCCAACTACTGGTGTAACAATGTAATTGATACAATCTTTATTTGATGTGTGTCGAGTTACTTTCAAAAGGTGTTTTACTCTATTTTGATCGCTACAGTAGACATCAGTGTTTATATCCGAACTATAAACTTTTTTCCTCGTATGTCTGTGGTAATTTGAATGTAACAACAGAAATAATGATGCGAATACATAAATAATGTTTGTGAAGCTGTTTCATACCTATATATGTCATGCTCTCTCTGGGACAGCGGCAGCGAAAATACATATTTAAATGTGATCGTAAGGTTGAATAGACTTCAATAGAAATCACGTGAGTGTTTGAATCGAGATCGCAATATTTTAATGATTCGTTGTGCAGCTCTACTGGAGAGGATGATTATTATTACAGTAATGAGAAAAACTTGTTTTTACATTAGAGTAGTGAACATTTGGGGAAAAACGTGCTTAACTTTAATGATAATTGTCAATGACAATCCTTATATATATGTAAAAAAAATAATGTTTTGGTTTGTTAAGTTACATTTTTCCCATTTTTCCATTAATTTTATAACATTTCCCCCATTAATATCACAATCAATGCAAACCAACATTAACTAAAAATAGGTCTCGTTTCATTTTTATGCAACATACAACTTCGAAATTATCTGATTTTGAGGGAAAATATGACAGATTCAGCTACATTTTGGTAACCACTTCACTGCTCTCTGATGAAATCCCTTCATGATCCTGAAATAAACAGTAAATCATGGGCAGCACTTTCATTTCGATTCTGCTGTCAGGCGCCTGTGCTTCTCCTAGCAACCACATGAAACACCAGGTGTTGCCTTGGCAACAGCTGGCCACAATCAGGAAAAGCATGATTACAAATGAGCAAACATCTGATAAAGCCATGAGACAAAGACTGTAACGTACATCAGAGAATTTTCTAAAACTAATGCAGCATGCAGTTTTATTTCAATGAAGAGACGAGTGGGAGGGAATGATGGGGGATGGGCGCTTTGATTTGTTTCCTCCACTTAAAGCTCTTTTATAAGTAGAGTACAAGTCATCGTCACCGGCTGACACCATCTGCCCTATTCGCCAAATCCTGAATGCTGTGTCCAAAAAACACAGCGTCTGGTGATTAGCTAATCCTGTCCCGGCCTGCTTGTCCTGATTATGGACTTTAAAGTGTTGACAACACTTAATTCAGGATAAAAACTTATTTACATACATCTACTGTATACAAAAAGCACAACACTAGTGATGCTGGTAAAGTACTATTAATGACCCCATTAAATCAACATTTTAGTCCATGTCTGTTCTCTTTAATGCCATCTATAAGCTAATATACTCCTAAAGTTAACCAAATTTACTTTAAATTAAAATGTTCGATGTGGCAAAAAAACCCAGTTGACTCATTGTAATACACTTTTGCCCCCAATAAAATCAAATTCTATGAAAAAATGGATGAGCCCATCAATATGTCCCACCCCGACTTCCTATTCCAATAGGACCTACACACAACCATTCAAAAAAATTGAGGTCAGTAGGATTTTTTTTTTAATGGCTGCTTTTTTGAAGTTAGTCAAGGCATTTATAATGTTAAAAATGATTTCTAATTCAACATTTTTAACATTAATAATAAAATGTTTTACTTGAGCAGCAGCAAATCAGCATATTAGAATGATTTCTGAAGGATCATGTGACACTGAAGACTGGAGTAATGATGCTGAAAATTCAGCTTTTTAAAATACATTTTTAAAATATATTAAAATAAAACACTGTTTTTATAATAATAATAATAATAATTCACAATATTACCGTTTGACTTCTTTCAAAAATATAAAATGGAATAAAATAAAAACGTATGACACAGGAAAGAAAACTGCACTTTTCAAACTAATTAATGAGATCTATGACAAACTAGAGATGGGTAACAACTAATTGAGGGTGACTAGCTTTCCTAAAAGCGCTCATATCCACATTTTTAGTTTTGCTATTTTTAGCGGCAATGCTCTAATTAGCATGCTGATTGTTTGATTGATTGTTGCTTAGACAGCTTGCTGCTGCTATAATATTTATTATTAATATTTGAAATTTGCCATTATTTCTGCCGTTATTTGCTGGGGTTTTTTAGTTCAAGTTTTAGTAATTTTGACAAAAAGTGCTTTAATTTTAGTGCTGTCAAAACGATTAATCGCATCTAACATAAAAGTCTGTAATTATATATATATATATATATATACACACATTTATATTTACAAACTTTTATGCTAGATTCGACTAATCGATTTGACAGCACTATTTAAATTATTTTAATTTCCGTCTTAGTCATTTTTGTACTTTTAGTGTCACATTTAGTTTTTCAAGTCCCATTTCAATTCCCATTTACGTTTTTTTAAGTAATAATTATATTTTATTTAAGCTTCATTTCCATTAATGAATGATTTTTAATCATTTTAGTTTACAATAACAACACTGATGGTAGTATAGCATGCAAATTGAGATTCAGCTCCTTCACGCCATCAAACAGTGAGAAAAGCACACGTTGAATTCCCTGGGGTCGGTGAACAGTGAGACTGGGGTGGAAGCAGAGTCTGGCCTTGGGGGGAGGCGACAGCGACAATGAAAATGCTAATACACACACATTCACACACTCCACCATGGGGCTGTACAGACCTTGTGGTAATTGGCACCGATCCCCGCGCTGAACATGGCTTGCTGAGAGGCAATGATCTTCTTCCTCTGCTTCAGTTCCTCCTTTAACGTCTTGGCATCCTGGCTTTTTTTCTGCAGCTGGACGAGGAGCTGCTCTCTTTCCCGAGCCTCCGTCAGGAGTCTCTCCTCGGCCGCCTGCAGACTGACGCTCAGGCAATCCTGGGAGTGCAGCAGGTACTCCACGGTGAGCTGGGCCAACCGGAAGAGCTTGATCAGGGCCGGGTCTACGGGGCTCTGACAGCGGTGGCAGCGCTCCCCCTCCACGCTGCAGAACGTCACCGCCGTGATGTGCTCCTGTAATGCGTGGAAATCCATTTCGCAGGCCACTCGGTCCACATCCACTGCATTGATCCGACGCCAATCCACATTCTCACGCCGGGCTCTGAACTTGAAGGGCTGGGGAATGCTGGTGCTGGTGGCGGCTGCGGATGAAGTAAGCGGTCCGGACATGGTGGATGCGGCCGGTCTGCTCTGGCTGCCGGATGAGGGCTGACTCTGTGGAGAGCTCAGTAGAGATGGGATCCCTGCTGAGGAATGAGTTCCCGGGGGATCTGACGGGAACGGGTAGTAAACGTTGTCATAAAATGGCTGAAGGGGAAACAAAGAGCAAGGTGAAATTTATAATTCCAGGTACATAACATTTAATACATAAACAAGCCTGTTTCTCAAGCTCACACATAAAAAACATTCCTGGTCGATTCCACCAATGAAAGCTAACCGTTACCAGCTAACAGCAACAACACAGGTCCACATGACTATATGAGCGTTCATTAAACGCGAATGAAATGATGAAATCGTTGATATATATATTAAATTCCACCTTATTTTGCGGCTTCGTGGTGTCTGTTGTCTCCTTACCATCTTGCGGTTTTTGTGAAGTCTTGATGAATGATCAGAGCGGCGCGCGGCACAGCAGTGTCAAGGCGTCCTGTGCGTTTCTATGGAAACAAGAGCGCGCGTCCCACTTTACACAGCACACTGCACGAGAACAGAGAGGAGGAAAGAGCACGTGCATGTTGAAGGTATTTTGGGGGTTTCCTGTTTATTTGTCACTCAACACAGTGCGTTATTATTATGTATTAGTTCATAAATTCGAACATTTGAGCTTTGGACAGTTTTCTTCTGCGAAATAATATACTACAGAAAATGAACAGATTACAGTTTTTTTATATATATATATATATATTCATTAGCCCAAAACAATCACATATCAGGTTTTTTTTTTTTTTTTGGCTGTGTAATTACGTTTGACGTTTTAAAATTGCAAAATATGTATATTTATCTTACGTTTGCATTAAATTTATATTAACCTTAAAGAAAATTAAACCTGTTTATGCATAGTGAATTATTGTATTATTTAATGGCATTGTTTATTTACATAAACGTATAATACAAGTCACTAAAACAAATACCACGTGCCATGCCAATACTTAAATATTTTATCACTATTTTTCGCATTAAAACAATCATTGCGTTAATGGGAATTAATTTGGGGTTGTCATGAAAATGTCACGATGCAAAAAAAGGTCGGTTGTGGAAAATGTAAAATATATATATTTGTACTATTTTAGTTTGTTATTAAATAGAAATGTGACGTACACATGCTCTTGGTTTACCCATAAACATCGAGCAATTTTCTGTTAACGTTACACAGGCTGAACGAGAGTCTCTCTCAGCATTTCACCAGCCTTCTTCTCAGATTACTGCCCCTTAAAAACATATCAAGTTGGGACAGGCTCAGTTAAGAACAAAAGCGGGGAGCGTACACAAGAACGACACAGAGAGAATGGTCAAACCAAAGAAAAAGTTTTAGGTTTTAACCCAACAAAACGAAAAGATAAATATAACATGAAGTTCGTCTTCAGCCATTTTCACAGCAAACCAAAGTATTTCGGCGACTCGCTCACTCACTCACCCATCGGCCGCGGAGTAACGGGAAGGACAGATGCAATGGCTCTTACCTCTCGACTAAGAAGTTTTTGAAAAGAATCCATGCAGAAGTGCGTTCAATCCTGTCCATCCGAAAATCCGCTTCACCTCAGCGCTGTGAATCAATCAAAGGCCACACAGTTGTGGGAAACTTTAACACGGGCAGAAGCAAGCCCGACAAAACGATCCCCCAAAACGGTGAGGATTCAGAGCGGCGTGACGTCACAGCACATTCCTGGCGCGAGCCTCATCTCATCTCTGGGGCTCGAGGAGGGGGAAGGGCGGGCGAGCATTTAAGGAGTCCCACAGGGAACATCCACAGGCCCGAGAACAAAATTGACAATTGGGCTTTTCCAGACATTCAGAAATATGCTCAGGCATAATTCATCAACACCCTATCATTTAGCAAGAATATATATATATATACATCATAACAAAAAAGAAAAAAAAGAGAAAAATTAGCAGGATTCCTAACCGGATTGAAATAAAACAGAATTTAGCTCATGACAGGATGGAACCTAACATGAATAATAATTCAATAATGAGCTAAAGTTTCCTTTTGACACTTTGACAATATCATAGGCCTACTTGTTTTCTGTAGTTTTATCAAACACAATGGAATAAGACAAAGCAACTAATCGGCTACCGCATCATAAAATATTTGAGTTTAATATTTTATCCATTATATTAAGATGTATACATGAAAATATACAGCATAACAGGAATGAACCGTATGTGCTTATAATAATTTTCCTCTTTCCCTTAGGCTATGTATTTTGACTACATCATGTTGCTTAATTAATAAAACATAATAATAATAATATAAAATATCAATCATGCTTATATACCTAGTCAAAACAGTTTAACCCTAAATCTATGTTCACATCATAGAGACCATTTTTATGAAACGTCGACAATTCAACGATTATCATCATCATCATCATCATAAAGTTGTGTTTCTTAGTGAGTGACGCCATCCAGTGGTATTTATTTTACAGTGCTTGTTTGAAGAACATTTCCTTTAGTAGGCTGGTTAGAAATGATCAATTCTATTATTTGTCATTTGATTAAGCTTCTTTAGATGTTCCTTTACAATCTCCTGGTGCTCCCTATTAGTCTGGTGAAGCCTATTAATAAGGGAAGTGTAGTATTAACAGTGGGATATTGTATATATGCAGAGATATTGTGATTTACACTGGGGTGCGATGGAATAGAATACTGAATACTAGCCTAATACAAACAGTGCTGTTATTTTAACTGGGGAGCAAATAGTATCTACATGTTCAATATAGCTCCAAAAGCTTTTATTCATAGACCTGAATCATGAGACCATTGCTTGATATTAAATGCTTGGAAACATGCATTTTCAAAAAGACCATTTTTAGATAGGCTACCATTAGGCAATGTTAATTTTCTTAGCTGAAACATTTTCATTTTCACTGATACATTTTCATTCATATTCACAATCACTGTACCAATAATGATTGACTCGTTTTTTGTTAATAGATAATAATAGAAAATGTCTCACAAAAAGAAAAAAATAAATAGCCTCAAAGGACAAGATTTTTTTAATGTGTAATATTTATTTATTAAATTCACTTTTTCAAGATTCCTTTGTTTTTGCCATACCTTCCACAAATGGTGGATTTGAAAGAAACGACACTGTAAAAAATAAGTTATGACAACACGTTTTTACATTGCTTTAACTCATCAAAATACAGTATGTGTTATTTTTTAAATAACTTTTTTTTATAAGTTATACAAGATTAAACTCATTTTTTAAAGTCAGTTTTAAAATTTAAGCTGAAATGACTTTCATTTCTTTCACCCATTTTTTTTAGTATAGAATTAGAAACACTCAATTTCCAGAAGTTTATCCTTTTTTCTTTGATAACACTTTACAGAAACATTCTGTACATTAGCATTTTAGTTTCTGTAATAACATGAAATAACAATGAATAATTCTGTCATTTAAAATGTTAATTTCATATGTTAATGTATTTGGAAAGAACATGAATTAACAATGGGCAAAAGAATGTTAAGAAATTAACATGAATGTTGTAAAATTTGACACAACCTGATTTTATTACTGCTGTGTTATCGTTTCTTTAAACACTGGGTTACACAGCTGAGTCTATAGGAGGCCTTATGGGTCTGACGGTTCTTGAAAACTGGCTTCCTTGTGTTCCTCTCCTCCCTCTACTCTCTCTTCTTCCTCTTCTCTCACTGTATGATTGGTGTGAAGGAGGGATGAAGACTGTTGTGGGTCTGGACGAGACGGGCAGCATGTACGTACGTCTGGTACGTGCCGTCATTTTGGTTGGGGGTCTTATGAGTTGTTTATTGAATCTGAGGAAGAAAAAAAGGTACCAATTTAACCACATATTCATTGCACCCCCCTATTCAACTTGTTTCCACGTACAGTAGATGTATACTGTGTGACGGGTCAGACCTTTTGGGGAATGACTCTTTCCCAGAGAAATAGCACATGACTGCACTTCCACATATAACCAGACACGAACCTCCCCAACCAATGAAGAGAGCGGCACCGAGCTCAAACCTGAGAAATAAATATTTTAATATATTTTACATATTTCTACATATACATATTTCTATATTTTTCATATTTATCACATATTTTAAAGGACCATCAGACCGATTTCAGAATCAATCGATGAAGTATTTCAAAGTTATTTTAAATGAAATGCAGAATGAAATGAAATTAGTTCAATTAAATTTCCATTTCAAGTTTACTGTTCAAAGCAATATCTTTTGCAATTGAGCTTGTCAGTTTTATCAGAGGTTGGCTTGAGGCCCGTCCCCAAATGAGATGGTTTATTTTTAGTCTATAAAAACATGACTGATGTCTTTGTTGCATCATGTCTTGCTCTCTTTCAGCAAGCCGAAATGAATCTGCAGCAGTCAGGTGGTAAAGGTCAGTGCTCTTTAAGTTTCTTCTGTTCATTATTCTTGTAAAGTATGTGCTTTGAGGCACGAGGTAGTTTAACCCCTTCTCTCATGGCGCTTTTGTTTGCTCCCTGATCCAAGTACACCTGGCGAGCCAATCAGAGTAAGTGTCAGAGTAAGCAGCCCCGCCCCATTCTGCAGGCTGCAGCCAGATCCTTCTCCCCCGCTGTGTGTGTTCATGTGTTTGGGAGGAGCCGTGGCTTTAGGGCCGCTCTGAAGGCCCATCCACACTACTGCGTTTTAGTTTAGAAACGGATAATTAAAACGAATACGATCTCCGTCCACACCAGCGTTTTAGCTGCGTATTACTAGAATTGATCTCCGTCCACATTAAAACGCCTGAAAACGCGGATCACGTGACCATTCACCAACACTGGGCATGCGCGTGCCGGTGTAAACACAACTTCATTGATAAAATTATCCCACCATGCTCTGGGTTAACCCCAAACCGACGGTCCATGTACGATCAACGCCGCCGCTGCACACGGGAATTGTCACAGATCGCTCGATTAATAGCTTGACTCCGGCGCATGTAGGCAGTTATAGCGTTGTAAAATGCAGAAATTACTTGTACAACAGCTGCTAGCAAAGATATATGCCATGACTGATGACACCCAATCATAGAGCCGAGCGTGAGCCTCTACTACGTCATCGTTTCTAAAGTCCTCCGTTTTGACCTGTCTACACTAAAACGCCCTCCGGAGATTCAAAATGAAAAACGGATCGGCAGCGTTTCTAAACTTCTCCGTTTTGGGTCTCCGTTTTTGCCGTTTTAGTGTGGACGGGAGGTGCAAACGTAGCAAAAGGTCTCCGTTTTTAAACGAAAACGCAGTAGTGTGGACGGGGCCTGAAGTTAGGGTGGGATCTCATGCCTTCAAAGCTAGCTCGCTATTGCTAGCCACTCCCAAAATTGCCTACCCTACCTTTAATCGAAATGTCAACAGTCACCGTTGCTTCACAACACCACTTAGATGCATGTATGTATGTATGCATGTAGCGGCTTCATTTCAATAAATGGTATTTTTGGACTCAAAAGACCAAAGATATTTGATTCCTCTTTATATGACCCCTATAAGACCTTTGGTATATCATGACTAATATTTTACATCAACCACTATAGTGGTAAAGTAATATGACAAACACAACTGTCATAATTACGTACTTTGTTTCTAAGAAATATGGATCCACAAATTCTGAACGCACTTTATCTCCCCACCAGGAGTAGACTATCATACCACTGAACCCTGCAAAACAGACACCAGTTAATGATACTTAATTTATGCTTTATGGAAAAAGGATTATGAAGAAATATTCATACCGCATGCCATGTACGTCAATGCTGCTGCGAATGTAACTCTGGCGTTGGCGAGTTCAGAGCCTCCGATTTTGGTACATTTCATCCCAATGAGGGCAAGCACAGCTCCCCAGAACCCAAAGATCACAGAGACCACAGACAGAGCCCTGCACACATGCAGGAAAACTAACAACCACACAAAGAGAGGATTTTAATTATCCCTTTTATATCAAATCATGAAATAATGTCTCTGTTTCAACAGATGTTTTCCTCACCAGGCAGGTCCATCATGGAAGGGAAGTATTTACAGTCAGATACTCCTGTGGCGTCTGAGACACAGTCCATCCAGAGGTTGGAATAGTAATCCCCGGCGCTGAGAACGACAGAAGCACTTTCTGAGACGACCCAGAACTCAATGGCCAGAGTGGAACAGATCAACATCCAGCCACACAGACAGGACACAAAGCAGCCGATCTCCACATACATCACCACTGTTCGCTGCCTCATGCTGCCGGCTTCATGAGAGAGAGAGATGTGTGCACTGCTGAGAGGTCAATGTATGGCAGTGTGTCTCCTCCTGCCTCTGGAAAACCTCCTTTTGCATTTTACATCTGGTGAAAATACCTGGTTTTACCTCATCATCAGTTTTTCATCCCCAGAGGGCATTCCCAGGCTATCACAGATTCTTAGTATATCTAGGAAAATGGTTTCGAAGAGCTTCCAGTGCACTATAACGATCTAGATCAATTTAAAGTGAGCTTTATACAAACCAAGCCAATATTAAATGATGCCAAAGCTTATTTCTTAGTTGAAATTAATAAGAAATTAAATGAATGATGGTTGAAAATGAAATGAAAAAAAGTATGAGTTCTTTACATATTAAATAAAAAATGTTGTGCTAAAACTGACCATATGAAAATATATATAGGCTAGGTATAATGGATGTTACACAAACACTGGGTTCAGAAGCGATGCCAGTTTAATATCATATGTATATTCATGTTTTTTATTACCTTTCATTTTTATATTTTCGGTTTCATTTTAGTTTTGTGGTATTTTGTACTTTGTGTAAAAATGATTTATTTTATTTTTTAAAGATTTTTATTAAGCTTTGAATTTTATTTAAAGTTTTTGTACTTTTAGTATTGACTTAAATCGCATTTTAGCCTTATTTTTATTATTTAAGCCATGTATTTTAATAGTTTAATAGTTTTGTTAACAATATCAACACTAACTGATGCCTTTCCATCTCTGTTTACTGCTTTATAAAACAAAAAGTGTCTGTTAAATATTTCTCTAAATATTTTTGTCTGTTAATATACTTCTTGAGCCTCTTGACTTGACCCAGTTTCTGTTGACGCATTCTGTTCCTGATCGTACCTGTGTGTGTTTTCATGATCTTGTGTGTACAGGTTGTCTTGTTTTTGAAATATAATCTCTGACAGGACATCAGCTATTGAATATGAAGTGTCCTGGGAATACTGGGAGTTAAGATGTTTATCTAACAGATGCAATGTTCGCAGTGTTTATGTATAAACAATATTTGGCTATTTCAGTGCTACCAGCATAAAGGAGAAAAACAATATAAATAAATAAAGAGTCAAATGAAAAATAAAAGATGAGTCAACTTAACACTAGTCTAAATTTTGTTCGGATAAGAATCGCCTGAGGAGTGTAAACACTTAGGCTCGGTTGCGTTTTCAGCAGAGCTGTTTTTTTAATGAAGGGGTCGAGGTTTGGCTGGTTAGCATGGCCTAGTTAGTTAGTAGCCAACTGGTAGATGTTGTAACTACAGCATCTGGCTGAAAAAAAAAAAGCATCTTACAACAAGCCATGTGCTGTGCTGCTATGTATTCTATTCTGAAGAAATAAAGTTTTAAAAATGAATAAAAACGTATAAATCACAAAAATGTTATTATGCTATAATATGTTTGATCAGTGTAATCAGGACTTAATATGAAATTGAAATGATTAAGTTGATAATCAAGATGAAGTAGGTCTTAGTAGAATAGTAAAACAAGAAAAAAAAAACGTATCATAGGCCCTGTGATAAAGGAGTGTGTGTGATAGGATGATACAAACATATTTTGAGTTTGTGAAAACAGCTATTTTAAAATAAACTATTTTTTAAAATATATATTTTTTAATTTTCCATCTGGCATACCGCATATATTCCGCCAGGTGGCGCATTTCTGCTTCTCTGTAAGCGTTATTCTCCCCAGTTTTAGTGCTGTTGAAATCATGCACGTTGTTGTGGTGTTTGTGTAAGTTGTTTTCTCATTCGTGTGCACACACCTGTATCCCAAATGGCACACTTCATATGCACTATCGGTCTGGTCCACTTCATTTAGACTACTGTACCTTTAGCTTTTTATTTCTTCTGGCGACTGCATTCAGGCTTCAAAGTTCATAAAAGTTGTGTTCATCTGTGAAATTTTCTTGATGGACAAAAAGTGCAAGTAAAATAAACTTTTGTTGATCACAGAGCTTGTTTTTAGCTATAATCCAAAAGCCTATGGGAAAATCCTATTGGTTTTTTTTCTCTCTCGAGGATACCACGATACCAGTGCGATGCTAACTGCCAGTTGGCCTACAAAATGACGTCTTACCAGCACCACATTTTAGGTTTCAGAAGGGTGCTCGCGAGCGCCCCCTTGTGGTCGATATGCGCCCTCGATGCGCACTTTTGCCAGGAGACTTACAAACAATTCTACCCATAAAACATAAAATAATAATAAAATAAAGAAATTTTAAAAATAATAATAAATTACATAGAAAAAATTATACAAAAACACCAAAAGCCAGGAGACTTCTTCCCGACAGTCAAGGAAGCGGCGTTCCGTCACGAAAGTGCGGACTCGCAGGAAGACCGCGAGTGTTTAGGGTGCCATTTGAGACAGGGCCTACATTCCGAACCATAATATGGTACTTTTTATTATGATAACTTACCTCATTATTTTGAACAGAAGAAATCGCGAACAGGACATATCCGCAGTTTCCGCACTGATCCAACAGCTGTTCAACTCAACAACTAACTGATTCAACGATCCAGGGATATTGAAGGTGCGCGCGAAGGCGTGAAAGGTAAGTTAGCCTATTCATTTTAGTTGGCTATTGAAATCTTAGGTCAGTTATTTGATAACTGTTTTGTATTTGTAGCCACATATTTAGGTGGGCTACACAAACTTAGTTTTTCCTCATTTATAAAATACTATGTGGTAGCCTATTGTTTCATTGGTTTGCACACTTGAATATCAATAACTTAAATGTATATTTTAGTATATCAAAGTTTAATGTTTTAATTGTTTTTAATAAGTTTTGGTAATAAAATAAAACGTTTGCATATTATAAGCTATATATAGGCCTACTAATGCTGGCTAAACATGGTTAATTGATTAGTATTTTTTTTACTTTTAATACTTGAGTGCATTAAAAATCAAGTACTTTTGAGATGTACTGTGATTTATCTAACAAATTATTTTCTTTAACAAGTCAGGAATTGTCACTTTTTAAAAACAAAATGATACTTTAGTTTATTCTTGTTGCAGTTCCCCATTCAATTCTTTGTAGTATATCACAGACAAATGACCCAAATAAAGAGAGCAGCTTCTCCTCAGAGGAAGTTGTCAGACAGTGTCTCTGCGTTCTTCTTCATACCAGCATTCATTTTACTTGAGAAAACATTACACTGTAATAAAAAGTATTTGCTGCCTTAAATCAACTTGGATGTTTAAGTAATTTCCACTTAAATTACATTAAACTGACTTAAAAATTAGTTGAATCTGGTATAACTTGTTTAACTTATTTTGATGGTAAAGCAATACAAAAACATATGTTGTCATAACTTATTGAACCTTTTTTTTTTAAATTATTATTATTTTTTACTACAGCGTACTGCCAAAGATACATCAAAAGAGGACAGTCCGGCCTTATTTGCTACTATCCTGTCAAGCAAAATGACAGCATTTTAAATGGCTCGATCAATTCTGATATGAATCTCTGTTCATCAGTAACGCAAGGAAGCTTTCGCTGTGGGATACTTGGATATCACACTAAAGACTGCCCCCCAAAAATGAGGTAAATGTTCTTTGACACAGTCACAGATTACAATTATTGTGAGTTTAATGGCACACATTTTAATTGTCTACAATAATCAGCTCATTAAACTCTTCATTCAGAAAACATAAGAGCATTAAAACAAGCAGGGACCTACAGATTTGTTGACCTCCTCCTGCAGATCCAGGTAAGGTCAGGGTCACGCATGGGGCAGCAGGAGGAGGTCTTTTCCTTAATTTGTTCTGAATCTCATATTGTGGAAACCCTGGTTTTTAAATTTCACTCTGGCAGAATTTCAGGAGCACTGTTGCTGGACCCGTTCCAGCCAGCTAAAGTGTTCCCATTAAAACCAAACAGACATCAGCGGCCAACCATCATTTCTCAAACGACTCTTCCCGTTTTCCCTTCCTGGAATACTCAATTATCTGGCCCTTATTTAATAAAATTCAGCTTTAAAATGATCAATCTCAACATGAAGCTGCCCATATTCCTCCCCAGCACTCCGACCCCTTTTACACTGACATTTACGCACCATTTACTCACAGCACACGCTGCTGCTCGGCCACATTTACCATTCATTTAGGGCCATTTCCTCCTTAAAGGCTTGAAAACCCCTCTTTTTGAAGCATATTTGTAGAAGATAAACATTGTCCATTATGTTCAGTGTGGTGAGGTCAGTGAAGAAACTAGAAGTAGCAACAGATAAAGTCTGATCTTACCGTGTTCATTCTTTCATGGATCGTCTCAGAGCTCAAGACACACTTCATTCTCATTCCCTCCTGAAGCTGCTGAGACCCTTAACTGAAATCTGAGGTGCTTTAGTTAAGATGACAAGAAGACATGCGGAAATATAAACACACACACAGTTACATTCATGTACAATATATGATACCTTTTTTGTGCAAAAAAAAAGCAGTTTGCAGTGAAGAAGCTTCATTTGGAGGAAAGAAACGCTTCAGTAACCACATGACTGTTCACCTGTGTTCTGACAGCCACACACACACATGCATCGTGTGTCTTATTAAGACTGACTTTGGTCTCGTCAAGCAAGAAAAGAAGAAATATGAACAGAAGGGGTAAACACTCTAACCTCCGAAACCTTTTACTTTTCCTCAGTAAATATTTCTTAAACTGTTCTTAAAGGCATCACTGTATAAACGGAAACTTTCATCCTTCGTATCTTAGAGTGAGTTATGTTGCGGATGGAGTTTTTAATATCCATGTGACAACAGCAGTCGATATTTCATTAAGATGAATGTAAGCAACAGTCTAGAAATGTCCCATGACAAATCAGCGTATATGAAATAAAACAAGATGTGCAGACGGACACTGAATAACCTGCTCTTCCTCACCGCACTGATGAAAGAAATATTATCCAGATCAGTCAAGATCATATCAGTGCTGACACTCGCTCACACATCCTCACACACGCGACACGAATGATGACTTTGAGATTTCTGTGACTTTGA